TATATTTTTTTCACATACTATTCAGATTTTTATTGGTAAGTGTTATCTATGAAACCATTCATGTATTGACAGTGGAGAGGTTGACTTCCACTGTGAGCATTAAGTAAATGACAGCTAACTGTTCTTTTGTATGCCTTAAGTGGAACATTGTTATGATGCAGCAAAAAAAGACGCTAGTGAATCCAGAACTACTCTGTCAGTAAATGTTTGCTAAATATTTTGCACTTGTGTCCAAAAGGGCTGGAGGACTTGACAAATCCAGAAGATATGCAGAAAATTTCCAGATATTCCAGCAGGTTGCAGGGATAGGGTATATAGCGTGTCATTTTAAGGGATAAGATACAAACTCTTAACAATTTTGTATTCCAACTCCTGGTACGTATTGCTAATGGAGACAGAAGGTTTTTTATTATAAAAAGAATTTGGATTGTTTCAGATTGTCAGCAGGTTGTGGAAGAAATGTGGACATTTGATGTTGACTTTTTTTATTTTTCTCACATTTTCAAAATCAAGAACACAGGGACGTGATCTCAAACTAACTGGAGGAAAGTTCAAAACTAATTTTAGAAAGTATTATTTTACCGAAAGGGTAGTTGATGCTTAGAATAAACTTCCAGCAGAGGTAGTGAGCTAGTCAATAGTATCTGGCTTTAAACATGCTTAGGACAAACAGATCTATACTGAGACAAAAAGTGAATGAAAAAAAAATACAAAAAAACCACACACACACACAAAAAAATGGGCAGACTCGATGGACCACTGTCTTTTTACTACCATCATTTTTCTGTGATTCTATCATTTTCACTAATTTGTGTTTCATCACTGTTTTTTTATAGTTATACATACTGTAATTTCCACATTTTTTGGTTTTAAATGAATGCCATCTAATAATTTATATTATTTTACTTTTTATTTTTTTTAATTCTTAAAGTAATGCTAAAGGCAAGTAAAATAGTAACAAACATAATATACTTACCTGTTCTGTGTAGTGGTTTTGCACAGAGCAGCTCCGATCCTCCTCTTCTTGGGTCCCCACTGGTGCTCCTGTACCCCCTCCTGCCTAGCTCCCTCATCACAAGTAGCTTGCTATGGGGCATCCAAGCAGGCTCGCTCGCAGGCCACTGCATGTCCATTCATACACAGAACTGTGCCTGGGCCCTGCACCCTCTCTCTCTCATTGGCTCTCACTGATGTCTCAGCCAATGAGGAGGGAAAGTTCCCAAAGAGTCGAAGCTCTCATGCACATTGCTGGATCGCGATGGGGCTCAGGTAAGTATTAGGGGGGACTGGGGTGTGGCTACACACAGAAGGTTTTTTTTTTCCTTCATGCATAGAATACGTGACTGCAAAAAACCTTGAGCCTTTACAACCACTTTAAAGTCCATTTCTGGCCAAACTGTTTTTCTTTTTTAAATTTTAGTTTTAGATAAACAGAAACAGGTTAAGTCAGCATTCCACAAAGTCTAGGGGCACCATCTCGGGTGTCGGGGGGGGGGGGGGGGGGGAATCATACTGTTTTCAGGCATTCATTCTTGAGTTGAGCTTTAATTATCTATAGTGAGCTGATTAAGGAGATTCCTTTTTTTTTCTTAGCCACACCTCTGTCACTGCATCATATCCACACATTTCTGTAGATTCAAAGAGAAGTTCTTGAAACTCTTCATATCCCTTTATTTGTGCTTCCTCTTGTTGGAGCCAGTATAACAGGGGTTTCCTCGGTGTTCATCCACCGACATTTATTCTGACCAACACTAGTACAGATTGATTGCATTCAGAAGCAGTTTTGTGGGTATAATTTTAAATGTGTTAATCAATGCACCTGTGGTTTCCTTTGTTTTTTTTCATGCTCAGATTTTAGTGCATTCCTAGATGTTTTCATGGGCCACAAATGTTGATGCCTAGGTCTACATTATTCTTATATTGGCTAAAAAATTCAGTGGTTGTTGACCTACTGGTGATTTAGATGGTGAATGCCTTACTTCATATCTTGTTTGCACTAAGAAAATTGCTCACCATTATTTGTTGGCTACATGTGTTGAGGTACCATTTTAAATTAAACCACTGCATTATGTTCCATGGAAAAAATGCATTTTTACAGCATGTTACAATAGCCCCAAATATTAGCAGAATGGGTTCAAAGTGGCTTGCTAGTGGGTATTTGTGATAGAAATCACACAGTATTACTTAAGGAGGAACAGATGCCCTAGCTCGACAAAGAATTGTCACTTTTCTTGAAAATTTTTACCAAAGACGGGGATAGAAGTGGACATGAATCAGTCAGCAGATCTCAGCCTCTGGGGTGTGTCAACACAGGTAAATAGCATTATTTATATTTTACATCATATGCTAATTATTTTCTAGAACCTTATGTGTGTAGATGCTTCTATGAAATAACATAGGATTGGTAAAAAAAGACCGTTATGGTCTGTTCTGTAATCTCAACCCTTATTTATAAACAGCAACCTGGCCTTTAACTCTGATCACTATTATCATTCTATAAAAATGTTGTAGTACATAAATACAGGGAGGTGTGAGTTAGGGTGAATTATGGGAATCAGGAAAAATAATGAGATACAAAGCAATACTGTTTAAAACAAGAAAGGTCATGGCACAAGACAGAAATAATGACACTAAAGGGAGCATATAATGATACTTAGAGGGGAAAATAGACGTAGAGTAAGATAAAATCATTAGAAATATCTTTGGTCAGTCAATGTATCAGTTAATATGCACTGACCCCAAAGTACAAGTGAAAAGGTTAGAAGTTAGCTGCCAAGACAACCAAAATAAATCAAGCAAAAAGAGCACAAAAAAAGAGTAAATGTTGCACTTAGTAAAGAGATATTTTATTTCAAATGGGAAATACATTGTAGTAGCAAAATGTGCAACTTCTTTGATGCTAACAAAATTATATCATTTAATGAGACAAACATATTTAAACTGCCCTTTAAGTACCCTTTTCAATTACATTTGTAAGAGCCAGTAGAGAGAAAATATTTTGCTCCTTAACCAATAAACACTACAGGAACATGCTGCATGCCAATTAATGGCTAGAGAAATCCAGGCATGACGCCTGATATTGTCAACCTTGTTGTCTGGATGATTTTACCTTCCTGCCATTAACGTATCTGCAAAACTTTAATCTCAGGATCTGAGAAGCGTCTGTCTTTATTTTATAAATCTCCCAATACAGGTCTTTGCTTCTCTGCCTTGAATAAAGGGACCCTTGTGAAGTTCCAAAATTGGTCTGTGATGCTTGTTACTTTATTTGACTAAAGTACAAGATTATTGCTATATCAAGGTGTGCTGGTGAAGATCATTATTTTCCAATGAACATTGACCAGACTATAAGCCCCAGTTCACGCTTGATCCGACTTTGAAATAGTGCGACTTCACTTGAAGTCGCATAATTTCAAATTCGGATGGCAGTGTGACTTTAGATGCGACTTGATAGATGTCTGTGTGACTTTATACACAGATATCTATTCAAGGCACACCCAAAATCGGCAAAAGTAGTGCAGGAACTACTTTTCAAATCCTTGTGACTCTGATAAAGTCAGAGTTACACCGATTAGAACAGTTCCATTGCCGATCATTGGATGTGATTTGTCATGCGATTTGAACGGTCAAATCACATGACAATTCACATCTGTGTGAACTAGGGCTAAAAGAAAGAAATCAGGAGCTACACCCTTTTTATATATACAGTATTTAACCCAGGCACGATCAGTGCTTAAATACTAGGTATAAATCCAGTTGACCACTGTTTTTTTTTTTTTTAATAAAGATTCATCTTGGCCAAAGTAAAGCCTCCAATTTTGTATGGATGTGTCAGTTTAACAGTGTTAAAAAAAGACTACTAATCAGAGTCCCCATTATGAAAAGTCAACATAAACCTTATATGTACTTGTCTCATTTCTAACACAAAATTCAAAATAAAAAAATTAGAGGCATATTTTTCCTTTCTGGATTGTTTGTGAAGCCATACATCCTTTTTGCCTCTGGGCCAATTGTGCACCCAGAACAGCTTGTTTATATCATACACTCAATTTCATCTGTAGAATAAAACAAAAAAACTTGAAACACTCCCTTTTTTGTTGGCAAACTTTTTATTCAATTTTAAGAGTAAATAAGACATATGGAGACACATTGTAATTCAGTGGTTAGATGTTTGGGTAATATAAGGGTTACAATATTACATAATTGCAAAAAACTGAAAGTAGCACCTTCAAATGGATGTGCATATTATTAGGAGCCACTGTAATGTATCACATACACCAACAAATATCAAAGCAAAAACCAAAGGTAAAATGGATGGACCAAGGGTACAGGAAAAGGAAAAGTGAGGAAAGCAGAAAGGAAGAGAGAGAATATGAGAGATAGATAAAAGTAGGGCGAGGGTCAGCAACCCGTGGATTGTGATCTTCCAGTAGATCTCATCCAAGTGACTGATAGATTGCAGTTTAGCCTTGCTGACATGCCATCCCAGAGAATCAAACAATATATATAATATAGAAAAATTTGGGGTGTTCTAAGTGGTTTTCTAGCAAAAACATGATGTTTTTTATATGTAGGCGAGCAATTTCAGAATTAGTCCAGGCTGGAAGTGGTTAATAATTAAGAAACCACAGGCGGTGTAGCAGTGTAAAATTGGCACAGGTTGGGGCTTTACTACAAGTTAAGATACCACAGAGTAGTCAGCAGTGTAAAATGGCTAGTAGCAAGATACTTTTGTTCAGTGGTAATAAACCTAGCTAGTGCTAACTTTTTCTTTTTTCTATGGAGATAGGAGGTGATTAGAATGCGGATGATTTAATGTGATTTGGTTAAGGCGTACTTCCTTTTCTTCCAAGACAATGCAGCAGTATGCTGTGAACAAAACTAAGCCCCAGTTCACATACACTATATTGCCAAAAGTATTGAGACACCCTCCAAATCATTGGATTCAAGTGTTCCAATCACCTCCATGGCCACAGATGTATAAAATCAAGCACCTACGCATGCAGACTGCTTCTACAAACATTTGTGAAAGAATGGGTCGCTCTCAGGAGCTCAGTGAATTCAAGCGTGGTACCTTGATACCTTGATACTTTGCCAACTGTGCAAAAAGTCCATCTGTGAAAATGTCCTTGCTACTAAATATTCCCCGTTCAGCTGTTAGTGGTATTATAACAAAGTGGAAGCAACTGGGAACAACAGCAACCCAACCACGAAGTGGTAGGTCATGTAAAAGGACAAAGCGCATGCTGAAGCGCACGGTGTGCAGAAGTTGCTAACTGTCTGCAGAGTCAATGGCTAAAGACATCCAAACTTCATGTGGCCTTTAGATTACCGCATCATCTGTGTTTAGCAAGCTTCATGGAATGGGTTTCCATGGCTGCATCCAAGCCCTACATCACCAAGTGTAATACAAAGAGTTGGATACAGTGGTGTAAAGCACGCCACCACTGGACTCTAAAGCAGTGGAGACATATTATCTGGAGTGAAGATTAATGCTTCTCTGTCTGTCAATCTGATGGACGTGTCTGGGTGTGTGGTGGTAGCCAGGAGAATGGTACTTGCTTGACTGCATTGTGCCTAGTGTAAAGTTTAGTGGAGAGGGGATTATGGTGTGCAGTTGTTTATCAGGGGCTGGGCTTGGCCCCTTAGTTCCAGTAAAAGGAACTCTTAAGGTGTCACCATACCAAGACATTTTTGACAATTTCATGCTCTCAACTTTGTGGGAACAGTTTGGGGATGGCCCCTTCCTGTTCCAACATGACTGCACACCAGTGCACAAAGCAAGGTCTATAAAGACATGGATGAGCACGTTTGGGGTGGAGGAACTTGACTGGCCTGCACAGAGTTCTGACCTCGATCTTATAGAACACCTTTGGGATGAATTAGAGTGGAGACTGCGAGCCAGACCTTCTCTTCAGACCTCACTAATGCGCTTCTGGAAGAATGATCTAACATTCCCATAGACACTCCTAAACCTTGTAGACAGCCTTCCAGAAGAGTTGAAGCTGTTATAGCTGCTGCAAAGGGTGGGACAACTCAATATTGAACCTACAGACTAAGACTGGGATGTCATTAACAACTTGAGCTCCAGAGGATTTACCCCCCTTAATGACCAGGCCTCTTTTTGCTACTCGGTGCTGCACTAATTCAACTGATAATTGCGCGGTCATGCAATGCTGCACCCAAATGAAATTTACATCCTTTTTTTCACACAAATAGATCTTTCTTTCAGTGGTATTTGATCATCTGTGCGCTTTTTATTTTTCACGCTATAAACAAAAAAAGGCCAAAAATTTTGAAGAAAAACAATATTTTTTACTTTCAGCTACAAAAAATATATAGTAAACTCAAAGTTGGTTATAAATTTAGGTCAAAATGTATTCTGCTACATGTTTTTGGTAAAAAAAATCCCAATGAGTGTATATTGATTGCTTTGTGTGGAAGTTATAGCGTCTACAAACTATGGTATAGATACTGCAATTTACGCCATTTTTCTGCTATACAGCGCTGCGCTAGTTTAACGGACAATTGCGTGGTCATGCAATACGGTACATAAATGAAATTTACATCCTTTTTTCCCCCACAAATTGAGCTTTCTTTCCGTGGTATTTAATTGCCTGTGCGTTTTTTATTTTTTGCGCTATAAAAAAAAGGCTGACAATTTTGAGGAAAAAAAAACTATATTTTGGACTTTTGCTATAAAATATGTCCAGTAAAAAAAAAATGCAAAAATCTAATTTAGTCATAAATTTCTGCCAAAATGCATTCTGAGACATCTCTTTGCTAAAAAAAAAAAACCAATACGTGTAAATTAATTGTTTACGTGAAAGTTATAGTGTTTACAAATGGCGGGAAAGATACTGGGATTTTTAGTTTTTTTTTATACTAATAATGGCGGCGATCAGCGAATTATGGCGGCGATCAGGGACTTATGGCAGAGACCAGCGACTTATGGCGGGACTGCGGCAGACATTCTGACATTGGGGGGTACTGACTTGGGGTCACTGACATCCCCAAAAACACTAATACAGTGATCAGTGCAAAAAAAAAAAAAACTGACACTGTACTAATGGCACTGGGGAGAAAGGGGTTAACTTTATTTTGCAGGGAAGGGTTATCTGTGTGAGGGGGAGTGTTTTACTAGGGGGCGGGGGTGTGTGCTGCACTGGGACACCGCTGATCGAGAGAGAGAAACTCTTCTTTCTTGATCAGCTCGTCCTTGAGCTGTCAGGGAAGTGACAGACAGCACAGCTACTTCAGCTGTACTGTCTGTCACTGTTTGCTGCTGATCGCCGGGAAACAGCCGGTAAGGACCAGCTATGACCCTGCGACTGACATCCGTGGAGGAGATCGGCGGGACAGATAGGGCGGCGACACACCTCGTGTGTGCCCCCTATCTGTTTACAAAACACACGTTTTAAAACGTGGTTTTGCCTGCCCGTGCCGCCCTGCCGCCGTATTTCTACAGTGGCAGGGTGGCAAGTGGTTAAAGTTCATGTGCGTGTAAAGACAGGTGTCTCAATACTTTTGGCAACATAGTGTATGTGAACACAGGCTAAAGAATAGATGGACAGTAAGAAGTAAATACTCTGCTTTAAGCACCCTACACTCAGGGGCAGACTGACCATTCGAGCACTCAGGCACTGCCCGAGGGCCCAGGGTCAGTAGGGGGCCCCATTAAATGCCCCTGGTACCTTTTTATAGGCTTTTTTGAGTGTGGGCAAGGACACAGGGGTCCCATGATCCCTTATTGCCCGGGGGCCCCATGATTTGTCAGTCCGCCCCTGCCTACACTTTAAAAGGCCTTATAAAAATAAAATAGGAAGTAAAAAAAAAAGAAAAAACACAAACAAAAACCTGAAAAGCCCACTTTTGTAAAGGGAAGCCTTGAAATAAAAAAGGCAGTTTAACCTAAAATAAAGACCCTAGCAACATACAGTACATTAAAAATAACAATATAACTTCCAATGAAATAAAACCCCCAAAATATCAAAAGTCCATTTAAAAGGAAATCAAGCACCTTGATCCTCAGGTTTCCCCTCAAAGCCATAATAGTGGCAAACCTAAACCTTATCCCTACACCTTAACACTCAATCTAACCCTGTAGTGGGCATAACTTTAGCCTGACCGAAACCTTAACCTCTTGGCGCTGGCCACACACAAATGTGCGGCCTCCCGACATCTGGGCCTTGATGCCGAGCGGCCGCACATTTGAGAGCAATTAAGAAAAACATATGTGCTGAGAGCGTGCGCCCTGTGCGCTCCCAGCACGCATATCCGGTACTCACAGAAAGGTTCCAATCTCCTCTTTCGATCGGGACCTTTCCCAATCATGTGACCACCGTAACGGCGAATAACAGCGGTCACATGACCGTAAAACCCCGCCCCGCCTCCCGGCTTCTGAACCCCTTAAAGAGCTGGTGCCAAGGGGTTAATCTAAGTTGTAGCACACTAAGCTTATTCTGCTGCATACCCACTGTATGTCATACCAGGAGCCTCTGGGTCAATGGAAAGCAGTCCTATGCCAAAATTATGTACTGCTGAGTTTATGACACAAGAAGAAAATACTACAAAATAAATATTTGCCATGCTGTGCCTGGATTTATGTGTGAGATGAAGTTCCCTGAGACATTGTTTCAGTGCTGGACTGAGCAGTAATGACCAATAATGTCACACTGAATATTGGGTGAATTTCTTAATAAATCAACTGTAAATATACACCTGTTTTGTATTTTCCTTGTTCTCCAGCAGGTTATCCAGCAGGTGGTGTTTAAGGTTATTTTCACGTTTTTTTCAGGGGCTCTGTGCCCCTCCATCAATAGATTTTGTGTACAGAGCTCAATAGCTCAAGCTCAAATTTTACATACATCATGAATGAGTCAGAGTGACTTCACCATTGCCTGAAGGGAGACAATCACTGCAGTACTGGCTATTTAAATAACCAATAGGGCCATCTTTTGTTATGTAATAAATGTAAATATCTCTTTGTAAATTAAAGATAGTATTTCTGATATAATAGATTTGTGTGCATATTTATAAATACATAAAGAGAGAGCTAATGTATGTATGTGGTAAAATAAAAAAAACATAGACACATGAATCTATTTGCCCTGTACTTTCTAGCTTTACATGCTGTGTTTTTTTTAATGTCACTCATTTTTTATCTATATTCTTCATTCATGCGAAGATGTTTATTTCATAAAGTGTAACTAAAGGAAGTACTTTTTTAACTTTGGAGAGAATGGAGAGGGATCAGCACCCCTGTCAGGTTTTTATTGCTGACACACTCTTTATTTTTCCTCAAATTACAAATAACGAGCGCTATACAAGTAGGAGCAGCGAGCACCAGAGATAGTGACATCAAATCTTAATAAACCAACATATATATAAGGTGCAGCGCATAAAACATATAAAGTGAAAACGTGTCAAAAAAGGTATGAATATACATATATATCAGTGCAGTCCTTCCAGTATGAATCTGTATATCAGTGATGTGATACTAGTAATCACGGCAAATCGTGTCCAGTTACACACTACTTGTTAAGTAACAAATATAACAAGAGATCTGTGTTATCCACTCTCCAACATCTGTTGGTCCAGTTACATCCTAAAAGGAAATGCTCACCACATGGAGCCCGGAAAACAGTGTATATAGTGTAGTATTTATTTAAAATTATGCATAAAAGCATTCCAAATGGAAAACAATAAAACATGAAATATGCCACATACCAAGATGGTCACCGTTCTGGAGCAAGGACCTGGCAGCATGACGTCAGCACGTAGGCTCCACCCGTGTGCACGCACGTCCTCAGGGAGTACCCCTGATATATATGTATATTCATATCTTTATTTTTCCTGTTTACCAATATCATCGTAAGTGAAAGTAAAAAAAAAAATCCCAAATTTTGGATTGACATCAAAACACTAAGAGGGGGAAATATTTTATTAGGGACACTAGTTCTGGCGACCTTGGTTACACACCAGGATTCCCTCACTTTGGAGGGATTTCCTCTCACTTCCTGTTTTGGCTATGGGACAGGAAGTAAAGTAGGACACAGATGGCAAACAAATGTGCATTAAATTTCTCATTTTATTAGGACTGCACAAATCACATCAGTGTACAATCAGAGATAGGTTCAGTGATGCGTTCACTGTGCACTTACACATTTACATACACACAAGAACCCATAACACAGGCTTACTGTGTAATTTTTTTTCTGCTCTTGTTTATTTGCTTTGGTAAATTAGGACCATTACAATAATTTGACATATTATCTCAGGATTCTCAGAAAATGGAGCTGACTTACTGTTTTCATTTGTGAACAGTGGAAGATATTTGGAAACCATTGTAAAATATAAAAATAAGAATACATAATTTTTATTTAAATGGTAAAAGTGGTAAAAGTGGGTTACATGTAATATGTGAAATAGAATGCTGTAGTAAAGAGGAAGGACTTTTGGGCCACTGAAAGAATTAAATACAAGCAAAACTTTTTTTCATTTTAGATAGAGTAAGGAAGTGTTATAACCCTTTTTTTGCCATCTGGGGCACATTGGGGAGATTTTTCTTTACTTCTTGCCCCATAGCCAAAACAGGATATTAAAGGAAATCTCTCTAAAATGAGGGAATCCTATAGAGTCGCTATTGGAAGAATCCCCCTCTATTAGTGTTCTGATGTCAGCCCAAAATTTAGGATTTTCGTTTTGTTTTCACTTTAGATGATAATGGCAGACATGAGAAATAAAGAGGGTATTTTACAGCATATATACATGC